CAGGATTTGGTTTCTTTCTGAGCAGGGTGTTCTGCCCATTCAGCAGAGCATCATCTAATTTCTTCCATGTGTTTGGAGGGTGGGAAAGTTCCCTCCCCAGCTGCAGCCTACTGTCTGGCTGCTCTGTGCTGAGCACACGCAGGTTATGAGGCAGCAAGCAAAGCCTGGTGATGCCGCTTCTGTGAGAGGCAGCCAGTGTTTCTGTCATCTCCACACCCTTCCCCATGGGAAGCCTTTGCATCTCCACCAGCTTCTGCGAGCAACTTAGAATCATCGAATCACAGAATGGTTTGGGTTGGAAAGGGTCTTAAGACCATCCAGTTCCAACCCCCTGCCTTGCTCAGGGACATCTCACGCTAGACCAGGTTGTTCCAAGCACTATCCAACCTGGACTTGAACACTGCCAAGGATGGAGCATTCACTTCCATGGGCAGCTTGTTCCAGTGCCTCACCACCCTCACAGAGAAGAATTTCTTCTTTATATCTAACACAAATCTCCCCTGTTGAAGTGTGAACTCATCACCCCTTCTCTTACCGATGAAGAGACCCTCTCCAGCATCATTCTAGCAGGCAAGCAGATGCTGGGACTCTGCTGCCCTCTGCTGGGACAGCTCAGACTCTCTGTAGGAAGAGGCCAAGTCCCCAGCCTGGCAGCCTGAGGGGCATTTGATGTTCCTGTTCAGTTTCAGGATTTATGGATAGCCCAGTGTGATATATGCACCCCTCTGCCCTGGACTAAAGCAGTGTGGCTTTGTGCTGCCTTTGAACCTGGTGACTTGTCCCAGTCTCTGTTCTTTCCGCACTGTTCCAAGGACAGAGACACCTTGGGTGGCTAAGAAGAGCTGGCAGTTACAGGACAAATGATGCATAGAGCATCCCTGTCTTAACCTGGATCTCGGTTAGCAGGTAGTAAGTGGTGCAGAGGTCTTTATTTTTAAGCAGGCATATTTTTGTATCCTTTCTGTAAAGTGTGCTTTCTTCATTTGCTTCCCGATGCAGTTCACGTGCCAATATGTACTCTGTTGTAGTGGTTCTGGATTTAAATGTCTGTGGTCCAGTGCAGAACAGAGGTTTCTAAACAAGTTGCTCTGTGCACAGTTGTGCAAGCCACTCCATCACAATGCTATGCCCATGCTTAGGCTGCTGTTCTCTCTCACAGGAGTGCACTGGTGCCGCTGTAAAGGGAGCCTGGGGTTCAGCTGTGAGCCAGAGCCATTTTTGCCCTGCTTTCTATGTTATGGGATATCATTTGAGTCCCCAGAAGACTGGGAAAGCTGATGAGGGGCTTGTGAATACATCAGTAGGGTGTGGGGACATAACAAAGTATATCTGAGCCTATCACATGGTTGTACCAAGCAGGTGACGTCCTTCCTCTGGCTGTGTAGCAGCCCAGGCTCAGTAGGAGCTGTGCTTCACCAGGAAACCCTATTTTCTTATTTGATCCTACTTCTTTTAGTTTGACAGGGCTGTGCGCTAAAGCTGGGCACAAGGTCCATGGCACTGCTTGGTTTGTATAGACCTGGATTCCTTTGCTCAGAAATGTAAATTCCAGCCCCCTGCAGGTGGGGCTGCAATTGTGCTGTTTGTGTTTTGTTCGAGCCTCAGTGAAGAGCTTGAGTGTTTTCTCTCTGTATTGCTAGTTCCTGCTGATTTTCCATAAAGCTGCAGCTGGGGAGCTCGAGGAGGACAGCGGCCTGTTGACTCTTGCAAAGCTCTCGGAGATAGATGTCTCCATTGAGGGAGTCAAAGGAGCCAAGAACTTCTTTGAAGCTAAGGTATGGTGTGTCACAGAGAAACATGAAAAAGCAAAAGCTCTGTATGCAGGCCTTAACTGCCACTGAGACACTGAGCCTCCTTGCTTTTGAATAGAAGATATGCCTAGTGTTACTTCCTAGCTAAAAGGATGCATATTTCATTCTTCTCACCCCAACCTCAGCTATAGCTTTTCCCCTCAAATTTTGTTGGACTCTGTCTACATCCTTCTGCAGATCTGTCAATGCTACAACAGCTTAATTCACTACCTCTGCTTTGGGTCTTGCAGGGTCAGCCACAGGGACTGGCCAACCTGTGTCTCTGTGGCTGTGAGCTCTATGGGAGAAGATGGCTGACTGCTTTTAAAGACAAAAGTATCCTGGAAACTAATGCAATAGGGACAGTGTTTCCCATCTTGCAAAACCTCCCTCAACCAGAACAGTCTGTGTTCAGTGGTGAATGGAGCGTTTTGGAGTATAAGATTTCAGACATCTCTTTCTCGAGCAGCTCTCTAACCTTTGGAATCAGAATTATTCTACAGGGTCCTGGGGTTGGCAGAAAGAGCTTTGCACCATTCAAATCTGACAAAGCACCCTTTTTGAAAGCTCTCGGAGAGAAAATAATCCTGCTTGTTTATACAAGAAGTTTTTTTTTCCCAAGAGCATAGCACAGCTCTTGCCCAGCAGATGTACTGAGATGAAAGCTGGAAAAATAGCCAGCAAATAAACAATGTCTCTTTGATCTGCAGATTATCCATGGTGTAGTATGATGTTCTCAGATTTGGCTGTCATTCAGAACTGTCTTCTGCAGTAGTTTCTCCCACCGTACACTCACAACTTATGCTATACTGCCTGCCTACAGAAAGAATGTGTGTGACCCAGTACAGATAGCATCGTTTTGGTCACTTGTTAGTGACTTACTAGTAAACGACCTTTCTTTTTTTGATGTTCAAGTCAAGCAAGCTAACAGGTACTGCATGTAAATACCCAGGCATTGCAGTGTAATTAATACTTGAGCCACCCTGGCAGAGCACTGGGTGACACAGCAAACAGTTCTCCATTGCTCATCTGGGAGTAGTTTAGGCTCTGGCTCCCCCTCTGCAAGGCTTGACATGCTTTTATTTTCTCTTTCTCATAAAGGTTCAAGCCCTCTCTTCAGCCAGTAAGTTTGAAGCAGAGATAAAAGCTGAGCAGGATGAGCGAAAGCAGGAAGAGGAAGAGAGGAAACACCGCCGAGCAGCTTTCAGGGAGTTAAAGTCTGCATTTATCCAGTAACCGGCCAGCTAATATGCACTCTGAGATTGCACACGACTTGGTACGTTTCCCAAATCAGGGCTCTACCTGGAGAGAACTGCTTGGATCCTGCCTAAAACTTGTTACCGCTTTGCTAACCTTCCTTTCCTGAAGATCCTCCTGAGTATAAGGGCACAGTTCTTACAGTTACTATGCATTCATAACAGTGTGAATCCTAAGAGCTGTGTACATGCTGTTGTGCTCTGAACTGTCAGGAGTACATCACCCTGAAGCAGACACAGCAGGTAGCAAATCATGGATGAGCACTGACGAGTGTCATGCTTACCTACTTTATTCTTTCCTTCTTTTCTATACATTCTTTTTCTCTTAACACCATGTTAATTAATTCCTTCCTTGCAGGCAAGTAGTGAGGTCTTGTGTAAATCAGGGTGTACAAATTACAGCTTGACTTCCTGTATGTTTGTATTGCTGTTGGGTGTTGTCACCCTTTTCTTTCTCAAAGCCCTGTGCCACAGGCACTGTGAAAACACTGTGAAGAGAGAAAGATAGTTACTAGGACATGGATCAAATTAGTTACCATTTCCTGTAGTTTTTCTGCCACCCAGCATGTTGTAGAGTCTTCCAGTTTTTCTTCTCTGAAGTGCCATAGTTACAAACCTTTCTATAAGAGGCAAGAATTCCCCAGACTTTGAAGGGAGGAAGCTGGCTCTCTCTTAAATGAGGAATAGAAAACTGAATTGCCTGACCATGTATCTTCTTTCACATTCCATCACATTTAGTGTACTGTATGGCTTCACTGTATTTTCCAGCCTTAGGCAGCTGTATGTGTTTTTAAGGGATATTGCCAGCTGGACAATGCAATCGGATGGCACAATGGGGTTTTCTATTTGGAAATCCTGAATCATGAAGGTGACATTGTGATTTTATTAGAGCCATGACATACCATCAGCCCAGCATACTGAGCAATCCCTGCTCAAGAAGGAGAGAGCAGCAAGGTGAGCACATTTAGCTGAACTGAAATCAGAGGGCTTGCACTATACTATTAGCCATTTTCTTCTGCAAACACAGGAAACTTGTCCACAAATGTTAAAATGCCCACTGCTCATCTGGATACATACACTGTAGGTCAGGGGAGCTGTGTTCCCTCTGAGACCTCTCTTGAAACATGGGTTTGCTCAAATTTTGCCTCTGCTATTGCCCCACTTTGTGCTTCTTTTCTTTCCAGAATTAAACTCACCAGTTATGTTTTAATTTGTCTGTTTTGCTTCTTAAACTGTGAGCACTAAACTGTGAGCATGGAATAATAAATAGAACAAAACTCTCTTTAATGTCAGGTGAAAGAATTGCTAAACAATTAAACTGTGTATATATATCTTCACAGATTATATTTTATAAATCATGCTTTTTTAGCTAAATATTTATAATTAAATGTTTTTATACTTTACAACAAAGCAGATAATTTCATCTTTCAATTATTTCTCCTGTTGCTGAAATGTACAAATAAAGCATTGTTATCTTCTGTCTTGTCTGCGATTTATCTTAGGTCCCTGACTGTAACATTTTGTTCACAAATTACGGTAGTGATCCCCAAAACTGTGTCTTGACTTGGATGAGTAAGGGAAGTATTCTCAGGCAGATGCTCAATAGCACTTCCCCTTCTGTGCAGCAGTTCTGGGGTAAAAAGCCCTAATGTTTGCAATTCCTCAGAAAGGGACGTGGCTGTTTAAACATTTGAAATACTGCCCACTGCTAAATGCTGACATCTGAAGGTTTTCAGCCTTCCATTTTCTTAAAATAGCCACTGTCTCAGCTGTGGTAGTGCCCCAGCTGGGATCTAGGCAGGTTGCTTCAGCTATGTTTCTCTTAGCATTTTCTCCTCCTGCATTTGTAGAAAGGAGGGAGGGAGTACATGGACATCTGAAAATGGGTCCAAGCATCTTGTTCCTACTGTTGCTGATGTGCTAACCACTGACCACTGGCACGGTCAATTTGGGAAAAGGGAGGGTGTGCTTAGGAGGAGGTTTAACAATGCATCATTTCAGGTATAGTCCAGTGGTGAAATGGAATATGTGAATAATTTATCCAGTGTGACTCCTACTCTGCATTGTCAGCAGTTGATGCTGTGTGTCTGTGGGCCATTGGGTCTCAGAGGTGAGTTAAAATCAGGATGAAGGCTCCTTAGTCTCTGCTTCCAAGGAAAACTGCAACACTGCAGCTTTTTATTTTCTTCTTCCCACTGCTCACTTGTGCTGTTTTGCACGTGCAGCTGTGTGAGGAGTCGGGGACAGCAGGAGGAGAGGGTGGGAAAAGGGCTTGCAGTGGTTTTATTCCAATAGATGCCGGTCAACTCCAGTTGACAAACTTCAATAAGGAAGTGAGCAAAGTGTGGTATTTGTGTTTAGCTCCAATAGGTGCTGTTAGCTGCAGCTTTCATTCAGTGCAATGAACAGTAAGTGGTTTTGGGTGTGCATTTATTTTGAATTTAGCTTTGCAAAAATTGACACTGGGAAATTAATTGGGTTCTAAATTGCTTTGTTTTGCTGGCAATTATTGAATAACAATGTCATTAGATTATGCAAAAGTACTTAAAATTGCTTAGCAAAACCTCCCATCTAATACTTACTGCCTGACAATACTTAATTGTATTTACCTATAATTAGCCTATACGATCCTTGATCCTCTGACCTTTCAGGCCTGATGTCACCACAGGTGGTTCTTAAAGGTCGTGGCAATCCCAACTCTTTACTGATACCTGCTGGTGCATCAATGCTGCTCTGGCATTCCTGACATGCCCCAAGTGGCACTAAGTAGAGAAGGCTGATTAAAAGCCTGTTGTGCTTTTGGGTTTTTCCTGAAGAGAAAAAGACTTGCCTCAAGTCACTGATCTCCTAGAATGGGAACTCCAGATGGTCGTTGATCCCTCGAGGGTTTTTGTTTAAAGTTTCCCAGAGTAGAAGATGTACGGTAGAGAAGTCACTAGCACTTCAGCCAGCACTGAGGATGGCTTTAGCCTGTGTGGATATACAGATCACAGTGTGTTTCTCAATGACACTTCTGTCATAGGCATTGTTGTTGGCTTCAGGGGACAGTGTTTGTTGCCTAAAAAGCACAGTGTAAACACGGTCAGGAGAGAAAGGGAAACAGTATGATCAGGTTCTTCCTGGCTTAGGGTTCAGGGTTTGTCTGTGAGGATTAAGGTGACCAAATCATATTTTAACCTTATGGGAGCATCCAAATAAATTCCTTCCAAGATGGATTGGAGTAACTGAAGTGCTTTATTGTTGCCTTTCAAACTCGGCTTGTCACATGGGTGAAAGATCTTAAAATAACTGTGTTGCAGAACGAGCAGTGTGTTTGCGGTAATGTCTTTTAAGCCATCTGAGGGTGATGGATGTGTTGAAGTGACTGACTTGAAAAACCTACAGTTGGATGTTCACCTGCCTGCCTTTGTCTGTTGCTTTTATTATTTTTAGGGATATGCCAGAGGACATGGAAAAATGGGCTGTTGGGAAGACAATGACACTTCTTAGACAAAATCCCTGATATTTTGACAAACAGGGAAGCCACTTTTCCAAATAACAAAAAGTGGGGGTGACAAGGGGAAACATGACAGACTGCTGCATCTTCTGGGCTGCTTTATGCCATTGTTTACCAGTTCAAGGCTGTGCTCTGTTTGTTGTTCCACTGTTGTAGTAAAGGAGGCAAGCTAAGGTGGGTGAAAGCAATGGGTCAATGAGGAACTTTTTAGTCTGTTAGGAATGCCTCTTACTTGTATGTGGGGTTTTAACAGTGAGGATGAATTGGCATGGAAAGCCAGGGCTCTGAAGTACATTATGTTCTCAGTATCCAGAGTAGCTGCTGGGGTATTTCATTCCTACCTTGTATCAGCTGAAGTCCTGTAATTGAAACATGTAGGAATTTACCCCCACGGGTACAGCACTGAACTTTTATGACAGTCTCCCTGTTCTGTTTGAATGAGTGTTGTGGAGGATTTAAGATGCATCTGCTATTACCAACCCCCAGAAACTCATCCAAGTTTCCTTAAGGTATTTTACAAAAATGCCAAGTTCTGCAAATGAGGCATGCTTCAGACACTCTTGATTTCTTTTGTCTCAGTAATACAATGCTTGTGCTAACTGGGATAAAAAGTTTCCCGCAAGTGCTAAACTTCCCGCATCTCAGAAGAAGCTTGTCTTAGAACATGTGAAAACGTTTTTGAGTCCTCAGACTCGTGTTTGGTGAGTAGAGTAACAAGGTGCAGCCATTTCTACAGTGAAATTAGAAGTTCTTACTGAGGGCTTCAAAGACAGTGCTGCCTCTCTCCCTCCCCACACCATTATTAGTTATTGCGTCAAGCTGTGTGACAACAGCCAGGGGGATCAAATGCAGCTTATCACAGGCCAGCCTTTTGCTAAAGGGAGCTTTGCTTTTACATGCCAGCCTCCCTAAAGGAGGAGTTCAACTCTTAAGTTTTTTGGGTGAAGTAGTCCTGTGTTGTTCTAAGCTAAAAACAAGCCCCAAGAATTAGAGGCTTTCAACCCGTTTGCTCAGAAGAATTGCTTGTGTTCACTGTTGCATCAGTTTTGGCTGGTATTCAGTGCACAATGACAAGTATTTATTCACCTAGAAGGAAAGGGAGAAAGCTACATGGACTGTGGCAGAAATCACAACTGGAGTGAAATTGTTTCAGCTGAAAATGGTTATAACTTCAATAGCGCATAACAGACAAGAATAGTTTTTTAGGCTGAAGGAACCACATGGGGCTATTCTGCATCATAGACTAATATGGGTTTGAGGACTAAAAATAAGACAGTTATGTTTAGCAAAAAAAAAAAAATTGAGCTTGTTATTTTCCCCATCAGGAAACTCAGAGTCAAAATATGTGCACCTAATGCCCTTTTTCTGTCAGTGTCAGCATCCTCCTTCCCAGCTGTATCCCACAGCAGCATACCTGCAGGGCTCCTCTGGTGCAGGGGTGAGAGTGGGTTTGACCCTCTCACACCAGGGATAATGCATGAGCTTAAAACAGGGTTGCTTCCCAGAGGTAAGGAAGATTTCTATGGCCTTGTAGTGACACCAGTAAAGCTGAGTTACCTACATGCAAGCTAATGGGAGAGAAACAGTAAGGCTGCAGGTGGGAGATTATACCTTGAGAAAGATGTCCACTGTATGGAAAAGGGCTTGGAGTATTGTGTGTGTTTGCTTAGAGCTTTAAAAAATCCTTAATATCTACAGGTGTGGATAATTACGGAACTTCCTGCATGTGTACCAAAGACATTGCAACCAACCCTGAAAGAACTGAAGTTAGAAAGTGCTATACTTCTATACAAGTGCATTGATACTAAGACCAATAAGCAACATTGCTAAGGGCCTTTGAAGGAAATTCCGTACAAGCTTTTCTTGATCACCGTAATGGGGTCAAAATTCATGACCAAATGGAAAACTATTTGAGACATTTTTATAGTGATACCAAAGTTTTGTCATGGCTTAGAGGGCAGAGTGTGAAAAGCACTATGTCTCTTGAATCAGTTTTGTGTTATAAGCAGAAACTTTCCGTGAAGTCTCTAAATGGAATAAGTATAGGAAATTAAAACCATTAATTTATAATTGTGTACCTGTATAGCAAAACATTGCAGGCCTAGACCTGTGTCAAAATAGCAAGTTTAATAGTTGGGTGATCAAATTGGGTTTGGTGGGGGTAGTTTGGGGGTGGGGTGTTTTTTTATTATTATTATTATTTTCTTAATATTGTTACTCATTTCTCTAACTTCTGTCTTGAAAGAAACCCATGAAGAGCAAAATCAGGCTATAGTAATTTTCTTTTGGGGAGAAGTCACTAGCATGTGATTGGGTAATATGAAATCTTAAATGGCATTAGTGATGCACAGTAGATTTAAGAGGATAGCAGGGGAATGCATTTAGGCGAGAGCCTTTTATGCTATTCTTTGTCTCTGCTACCACTGCTAACCCCTCAGCAGTGTGCCTTGGATCTAGTAGTGATCTTTGAATGGAGGAAGCTTTGACGGTGAAACAGCTTGTAAACCAGGATTCCTTTTGGCTGAGGTTGTCTGTACTGATATCTAACTCCTGCTATGGGGCTTGGAGCACGCTGCTCTAGTGGAAGGTGTCCCTGCCCGTGGCAAGGGGGTGGGATTGGATGAGCTTCAAGGTCCCTTCCACCCAAACCACTCTGATTCCATGGCGACGCGCGCTGCTGCAGCAGGGGGCAGTAATTTACCTCAGCGGCAGAGGCGCTTGACACCAAGCGGTCCGTTTGAGCCCAGGCTGGAGGCTGAGGCACTCATTTAGGTGCCCGGGGGCACCCGCTGCTCCGGTAGAGGAGGCAGGGCGGGAGGAGCAGCCGGTCTCACGGCCGCCGGCGCACCGCGGGAGGCTGCAGTGCGCCACTCCCTCCGGCTGGGGGCGCCCGCTTTCCCGAGGGAGTGAGGGGCGCTGTGCGCGCAGCTGCGGCGCCGTCACGCGGGCGGGGTCGGGGTGCGGGGGGGAGCAGAAAAGGAGCACCGTCGCCCATCCGGGTTCTCCGCGGCGGAGGCAGATGGGCGGGGCCTTGCCTCACGTGACGTTGCGTGGCGGCGCGACCGCCATCTTGTGTTGTTGGGGCTGAGGAGTCGCTGTGGTCGTGAGGGACTCTCCGTCCGGGAGCGCAGGTAACGCCGTCTCGTCGGCTCCCTGCCCCCGGCACCGTCTCGGCCGCTCCCGCAGCCTCGCTGCCTCTGCGCTCCCACCGCTATCGCCGCGTTCCCCCGCCTGTGGGAGCGGGTCTAGGCCGCGCGCCGAGCACCGGCCTTGCCGGCAGCTCCAGTCCGCCGCGGATGCCGCAGCCCCGAGGCGCCTCGCGGCCTACCGGGAGGCGAGGCTCTCTCGGTCTGGCGGTGAGGGGCACGTCCGGAGAGGCTCCCCTGCGCTCCAGGCGATGGGCTTTTGAGGGGCTGCTTGGGCCTAACCCTGCTTGGGGGTGTGGGCCTTGTCCTCTCCATGCGGCTTCTTGGCAGCGGAGGACGGTGCCTGTCAGGCGACGGCTGGGTGCTCGCGGCTTCTCACTCCCCGCGGGGCTGGCACCTGTGTCCCCGGCGGTGTCTCCCCTCACACTGACCCTTGTGAACTCGCCCGTCCACTCGCAGCCCAGGGGAAGCTGGCCTGTGCTCCGGCAGCGCTCGCATTGAAGCCGCTGTGTGCCCTGCTGCGAGCACGCCCAACCCTGTCACAGGCTGAGGAAGGAGGGAGCTCATCGAGCATTCGAGCCTTCCCCCCATCCCCCAGGCAGCAGGGTGTTGGGAGCAGCAATGACCAGCAGTGTTTGACTGCAGAGGCCTTGGCAGGCTGAAGAGAACATCGATCAGGATTGTGTACGTTTGGTATTGATCCAAGACAAGTAGTTTCAGTGTCAACAAAGCAGTCTCCGCTTTTTCAGTTCTGTGTAATTGCGCTTTAAAGTGGGACAAGTAGTAGGCTGAAAGGAGATGCTGCCAAGTAGTACTTCTGGAATAAAACCTGTATTTTCCCCAGTAACCTTCAGCGCCACGTTCTTGCTTTGCTGCTGTAATGGTTTATCTCTTGTTGTCGTTCTTAAGTGTCTGTTTTCTTGGGTGGGAGGGGAAAAAATTCTGGTTGTGTTTTTCTGTCTAACTTCTTGTTGCTCATTCTGTTTTCTTGCTTCAGGAGCTGACTTGGGCAAGTTCCTGGAAAGTACGTGTGAATTCTTTTTTTTCCCTTCCCCATAAGTGCTTGTTGCTTTTGTTCTTAAGAAACTTTTTAATGAACACAGATTAATTTGCTGCTTTGTGAATAGGAGTTTTAGTAGATGCACAGTGTGATAATTGGGAACCTTTGTGAACAAAATTGGTTGCAGTTGTCACTAATAAAAGCTTTGCTCTGGTATTTTTGAGCTCTGCTATTGGGTGTTGTCTCCAATAGATAATAAGAGTTTTAGTATTACAAGATACTAGAATGTTTGCCATTAACTTGAATAGGAATCCTTTGAACAGTTAGCTGATGCTGCAGTGAAAATGTGTACCCTGATCAGTCTGGGGGGTATCAACAGAAAAGGAGTGTCCATTGCCCCTTCTCCACCATCTTCATTCCCTAGGCTCATGTGTTTCTACAAGTTAACTGATGTCAAGGGTCACATGTGGAAGTGTTAACTTCTTACTGAATGTGATAAAAACCAAGTTTCTCTCTAATGGACAGCTATATTAAAAAGGAGTCAGAGATTTATCCATGGGAATTGAATGTCACTTCAAGCACGACTCTTGTGTTGAGACTTCAATAGCCCCTTTTCAATATCTGACAACATTGTGTATAAATGCTAGGTTTTCATAATGATTCCAAGAGCTGCTCGGGCTCTTGCTGGCTCTGGATACATGAGGATACATGAATGTGCAGGTGGATACCTTGTCACTGTGTTTCTCTTAGGACCTTTTCTGAATGGTTAAAGCAAGAGCATAGAACTAAAATGCAAAGTAATTATGTTGCAGTGATGATTTGTTTCACAGGGTGATTAAATAATAATTTGATACCACAGTAAAAACTTGGACTCTTGCAGATCCTCTCTTCACTACAGATGCTGATCTTAAGAGGACTGTGAAATAGGAATATCTGGAGATACTCCTGTTAGTGCGTTTTTTTTCTTGCCTTCCTAAAACATATAGTAAATGAAAAATGCAATCTTTATGTTGATGCAGGTAGAAAAAAAAACTTGTAAGTAGAGACTTGAGTGCTTTACAGCTAACTTAATTTTCTCAACTGTTTTGCTGCTTGATTGAGGAAAAGACTGTGTGTAAAACAGAAGTACAAACAAGATGATTTTTATTTTTTATTTTTTTTTTTTTTTTAGGGAGTTTAGACTAAGCATCATTGTGTCACTTCTCCTATGCTTGCTGTCTCCAAAGGCCAGTTGCCTAAATGTAGTTCTGTCACAAACTGGAGTTTCTTATACCTGAAAACGAGAAGAAGGTTGGCAGCTCTTTTAAGATCTATAGGTACTTATTTTTTAAGACCCCCTCACCTAGTTGTCAGTCATATGGAACATCTGACTGGGGCAGCTGACTGGCTGAAGAGGTGCTACCTGCCTCTGCTGAAGGTTCTTTCTGTTTAAACATAGAAGGGAAACACAGGTTCATAGTAATTGATGAAGGTGAGACAGGTACCTGACCATGGTCTTTTCTTGCTTCTCTGCTTCTTCCTTTAAAGTAATTCAAGGCTCCAGCTTTTTTGTGTGTGTTTGAAGTACCAAGAATCTGAAATCTGATTCTGCCCACTTCTGTCTGATCTTGTGAGTTCAAGTAATTACCAAATATATGTTTAGTACTTTTCATTTAGGTTTTTAAAATTCCTTCTTAGGGCTTTTAAGGTATGATTTTATGTCTTCTCATAGTCTGATGTAGAAATAAGTTCCTTTTCCTAGCATTTTTTTTTCCTCATTTTTCTGTGTTGTTTTTTATTTTCCCTCTTCTCAGTGCTTCTGCTCAAAGATGACTGGAGATAAGCTATATTTAATTCATGATTATAGATAGAGCTATGAGCACTGTAAAAAAGAGCAGAGCAATAAAATTTCTGCTCACAAGTGTAAATGCACAGGCCTGATCTGCCTTCTCCTTTCTACATAGCTTACCATTGGATGCTTTGATAAGGGGAAACTCTTCTCTCTGTTACTGAAGAAGTGTTTGTGTTGAAAGGGACTCTGTGTGGTTTTCTCATCCATTTATTTTAATTCAGAGAGTGACATTTGAAAGTCTAGGTGTGTAAAATGCTGCAGGGGTGATGGTATTTGGTTTTACAGGAACAAAGTCAATTTTCACCCCAGCTTAGCCTCTCTTTTCTTCTGTTCCAGTCAACTCCTGAACATTTGTGTTTGCACAAATGATCTCGCTTGAAAATTGTCAGAACTGAGAAATCTTAGCAAGTGTATTCAAGGTGTATGTAAGTTATGAATGGAATGAAGAAGAATTAAATGTTTTAAATTATAAGGTCTATACAACATTGGTCCTCTTGTGGTTGCTGGTAGCATGTATATGTGTGTATATATGTATATAAAATCATGTAATTTATCATAGTGATGTTTAGTCTTTTAGCTCAGATAGTGATGGGGGATGGTAACAGACTGAGGTCTTTCATTTGCTTTGTTAGTAGGTGAGGTTGCCACAGTGTGTTGATCACAAAATGGTCCACTTCTCTTTTTTGTAGAGGGAGGGCTGCCAGTCCATTTCTCCCTAAGGTGGTTAAACATTCCTTGAATATGGAAACTGTAGCAATGGCTTGATGTGTGTGCAGGGAAACTAGGCTGCCACTGAAGTTCATATGTCCCTCTTGCGTTTTGTTTTCTTTAGGGATGGAGAGGATGCACAGAATTGTTTTGATGCATCTGAGGTTTTTCATCAAGAATGAAATCCGAGTGTGTGTTTTCAGGAGTTCACCTCTCCTGTAGTCCTTACAGCTTGTAATATATAGAAGCTGGATGTCCAGACCAGGAGTGTGGAGAAAACCAGAAGGGATAACAGGAGCTTTATAGAGGCACTAGAGTCTATAGGTCAATGAGAAATTCTGATGGACATCTAGAAAATTTCTGTTAAATGCTGCCTTGTTGACAGTGTCTTTGAGATCATTTATTGTGCTTTATGTGAGGGCTTTTTTTTTCTCTCAGTTAAAACTGTGCATTATGATTTTTGTCTCTTCTGCCATATATTTTAAAAAAGGCAGATAAGAAAGAATGATTACTTGATGCCTTCAACAGTGGGTCTTGAATTTGTCATTATAAACTGGTAAATGAGCCTATGTATAACATGTCAGGAAAATAAATGGTTGGAAAAATGCTTGTATGCTAAATAGGTGTTATTACAGTGAAAGCAAGCATGATGCATTGCATTTGTGAAGGTAATATTTTGTTACAAGTGTTTGGTCCTTTTTATTTAGTAGAGGAATACTTGTTTCTAATTGTGGCTACTATGCAATAATTATTCTTTTCTTTCCTCCTCTTGTCATTGACAACAAATTTAAATACTTTGTGTTCTTATGATGAAGGTACTGGTTTGTGTGACCATGAGATTCAGAGGGTATAGATGTCCATGTGTGGATAAGATTGGGTAAAAGCAGATTTGTGGTCTGTGTATGGTGTCGTGAGCCAGGTCAGATTGGAAGAAACAGAAGGAAAGAAGATGCTGTGCACTGTAAAAAATTTCTTTGGGTGAACTTTTACAATGGTGAATGGATAGGTTGATTTATGTAACTTCAGACTTGGAGTCAGAATGTCATGTGGCAAAGAGCTGGCATGACTGGCAGGTAATGGATGTATGAGCAGTTTTGGGTTTTGTAAACCATATGTGGTAGGACCTGAGGATGATTTGGGTTGGAAGAAACCAGACTTTGGTAGTTGTTTGCTCCGGCCTCCTGCTCAAAGCAGGGCTGATGTTAGTGTTAAACTGAATAATACGTGTGATAGAAAGTGGGTGAGGCTGATCATGGAAGTAGCATATGACAAGGTTTTTAAGTAAAAGCTTCTAACAACTGGTTTAATAAACTGGAGGCTCAGTTCAACTATGATTAAAACCAGTGGAAGCTTTACATTAGGCTAAGTTAATGCTGAATCATCTGTATATGTAATTTTCTCTATTTATACTAGGCTAGTACTAAGGCAGGATCACATCATCACAAGTCAGCTTACAAAGAGGTGACTCTTAGATCAAAACAAGTGACTATCTTTAGCAATAGTAACATAAAGAGAAAAAAGTGATAAGCTATTAAAAAGCGTTGTAATTCATATGTAGTAACAAGTTACCTTCTGACTTACTGGTTGATGAACATATGTAACCTGATTCATGCGCTAATTCTCTTTAAGACCTTTTATTAGGCAATTTCTCAGTATTGAGTATTTGCTTCCTTAAGTATAGGACATTTCAGAACCTTATGAGTAAGAAACCTGAAAGAAGGGGTGGGGGGAGAGCATTTCTACAAACCCCAAAGAAAGTGCTTATGTAAATGACATTTAAAAACAAAACCAGAAAACTTCACAACAACACATATCTGTTCATTCAATTAATGTTTTCAATGAAGGTAGTCTGAAACTTTGTTCTGCCGCTTTGAATAGATGTATGGTCTGTATAATGTGTGTGATGAGTGCGAGAGAGGTGCAGCAGCGTGATTTTTGGTTGCATTCATGTAGTCTGGCTACTGGCCTTGTTGAGGAGCAGGTCAGCATCCTGACCTCTAACGTCTT